CTATGATGTAAACTGGTACATTATGATGTCACAATGCTGTTGTGAGCCTGTGTGTGTGTGTGTATTTGTTAGCGGCTCCGCCCTCTCAGTCTGCCAAGCAATAGCATTTGTTGCATTTTTCAAACATGAAGTGGGAGTGGAGTTAGAATCTGGTAGGGGGTGACTTGCTCTTTAAAACAAAACGCTGAGCTTCTGAAAGGAGGTAGCTCGTAGAGTGGGATGGCGCTGCTTTGTTCTCCGTCTTGCTTGGGCTTTTCTAACTTATGAACAGATGCTGATGCAGCAAGAAGCGCTACTTAATACCAAATCCTTTATTGTGTCGTCTTTTGTGTGCCGTCATAAAGCAGATGAATAGAACCAAGTCTTCCTGCAGGCTAAGCTCAACTTCTTTAGACCAAGTGTCCTTGCTGCCAAAGTGATCAATACAACCTGCAGGGGAAACACTTAAAGAGACAAAAACCAGCTAATGAAGCTAAAGCTGCTTCAGGTTTAGCGGAATAACAAGAAAAATATTTTCTGTCTGAATGTAAATCTGCCCTGACCTAAACTAGCTGAAGCCTGCTTCGTTTTTTCTAGTCTCTGAAGCTCTGGTCTATATCAGTCTCAGTTCCCAGAACACTCTCCACCTTCTCTTATCTCTCTCCCAGACTCAGGCCTCCATCCTCCTGCCTGTGCAGCTCAAAGTTGGGCACAGGGCCCAAACCGTAGGAGCAGCTTCACCCTCCTCCCCACCTCGCTGCCCTTTGCCATTGCTATCGCACAGTATAAGAGCCAGACCTTTTCGGACTGCGCTTAGCTCAGAGGCTAACACTAACCAGCCACAGATGTTTACACTGAGAGAGAAGGGGCAGGAGATGAGGTCTCACTCAATAAAACTTGCATCTCTCCCACTCTGCCTTTGTGTCTCTCTCTTTCTGACTCTTTTTATACAATCTGCGAGGAACCCAGGGGAGCTCTTTAGAAGAGTGGGCGTGACGGTCCAGCTCTCGGGGCTTTATTTGCCTCGTTCCCAGCTCTTTCTCTGCTATGAGTCACCTGGGTTTCCCCTTAAAACACGATTCTGCTTTCCAGTTTTTTCTTTCAACTAGCCAGATGCTAAGAATCAAAATCTGAGACCCGATTGTTACTGAGGCGAAGGTTGTTTCAGAGAAAAAGAAAACAGTGGGCGGAAGTGCTCCTTTCTTTCAAGGTGAGCACACCTGAGTCCCCTTTATTTGATGACAAAAAGAGACACAACCCAGGAGTGGAATTTCAGCAGCAAGAACAGACAGGAATATCTCCAGGTAACACTCGGCAAACAAAAGCTCAGGAAGATGCATCATGGAACAAGCCGAGGAGTGTTTTTGCACCGTTCGGAAACACAAAATCTGGCGAAAACACAGAGATGAAAGGCAAATGTTTATAAAGAGAGAGAGAGAGAAAAGTTTTGACACTGACAGGTGAAAAAGGAAAATGTCCCAATGGTTCTAATCAGAAATCTGAATGATTTTGAACAGAGGCTTAATGTGTGGTCCAGTATGAGCTCATCCACACGGTGAGTACACTGCACAGCCCATAAACCTCTGACACGAAACTGCTCTGTGACACCTCTGTTTCTACCACCCGTCTCAACTTTAACCAACGACTTTAGCTGGTTAGAAAGTCAACAATGAACCTCGCTAATAGAAGGCAGATTGCAGGGATTGGCTGCAGTAATGTCCTGGCAGACAGCGAACACGTCAGTGGACCCGCGTTTTTAGCCTGCAAGCCCTTTTCAGGAGGTCTCAGAAGTGGCAGGTCACTACGTAGTCTAAACCCTTTTAAGAAGGAGCATACCAGAACCTCCTGCTGTTCCACAGACCACTGAGCCAGCCGCTTTGAAAACACTTCAGGAGAGAGGATCATAAAACACGGCACTACTTAACATGGAAAAGAATCCACCGACATTACTCATAAAGGCTGATTATTCCTGCTCCCCGTGCAAAAGCCAGACTTTTAGGAAAAAGGGTCCCAGAGTTTGCCTTATCGTCATTAATAAAAGAAAACACAATGGTGTCGCTTGTTTTTATTTGTGAAAGTGATGGTTTGTGCTCAGAATGCTATTGTTTGTGCGGATGCTTCCTTACATACTTGTCTGTGGTTAGTTGGTTAAGCATCACAGAGGCTGTGTGCATTTTCTCAGGCAGAGGAACACAACGGTATCATTATGTGCCAAGTGGGAAGGAACATTCCGTGAACCTTTGGAGTTTTACTCTCCCACAACTAACCAGGGGTGGGGTGGGGGTTGGGGGGTGGGGGGGGGGATTAACCCGTACACAGGCATGCATATGAAATGAATAAAAAAGGAGCGAATGCAATATCTGGTCACACGCGGCATTACGGAGGATGTGAGAGATCAGTGCAAATATCTGCAGCCTTCATGCAAAAACTCAATAAATGAAATGTCAACAAAAGAGAGACGGGCAGCTTTTCCTGCACTTAACAAAAACATCTGATGTGCATTATTGCTGAAGAAGCAGCAGTCTGAGGATGAACAGCATGGCTGTTTTTTTAATAGAGTGAGTTTCCTCTGCACTGTAAGGCTGTGTTCATTAACAAAACACTCTCGGGGGGGGGGGGGGGGGGGGGGGGGAGTCAGTAGAGAATGCTTTTGGGGGGGGGGGGGGTGGATTCTGAGTCACCTTTTCTCAAGTACAGCCAGTACAACTGAGATGTGTCTTTACTGCCATCTAGTGGGCACAGAGAACTGATGCAGACGTAGGTTACACGAGAAAAATATCATAAACGCTTTTAAAGTAATTTTATATACTTTAGATTTGAGAAAATTAATTCCAATAAAATACTGTAATTTCACAATTTCTTGACAATTCCAATATACTGTTGGCATAAACATGCAGCATTAGAACAGTGGTGAGTTCTACCTGTTTTACTCTAACACAAGCATTTGTTAGTTTAATCCATCATTTTTTTACCTGCTCCAAATGCACCTAATGGAATATTTTGTATTAATTTCCTGCTTTAAATGTCTTTCTATTAATAATACTTGTTTGTAGTTTCTTTTACCAGCCATATTCCCTTCTGGGGAATAATAAAGTCATCCATCCATTAAGCTAAATTCAAATATTGCCACTCCCTGTGTCTAGTAATTATGAAATGAACATGTAGTGGCACGTTCATTACCCCAAATGTCACCTCAGCATCTTATTTTTAATCTCTCCTCCAACTCTATGTCTCACAGTCCATGGCACAGTCCCTAAAACGCTAATTTTGCACTGGAAATTATCAAACTCTTTCTTTAAAACTGAAACAGCCACTACACAGTTTGTATAATTCCACAAAAAACATGCAAAACATGGTTGTTAAAAATAAGGAGATGGCTTGTTTTGGCTAAGGGATTAGTGCAGATGTAAACGGTGCATCAGTGAGGATGGTCCGCACTGAAGAACTAAGAACCTGTTGCAATCTTGGGCTCAAATCCAGAAGTGGAATCTGGTTTTTTAACAAAGCGTAAAAAATATTAGATTAAAAGAGATATTTCATCTTTTTCTTGCAGCACATTACAGTATTCATACCAAAAGTAAAAGCACTGACTAAAATAGAATACGTATTTTAATGTTACTATGTTTGTGTGGGATAATTAGTGTCTAATGTTATAATAACATTGGATGGTTTTGAAGTTATTTAACTGGTAGATCAACAGTTGGTTTTCTTTATCAGGAGTCTTTCTGAGGCAAAACAACTAGAAAGTGGTGTGCCCCAGGGTAGTTGTCTGGGACCATTATTTGTTTTCTTTTTTTATTAATGAAATGCTGTACGTAATGAAAAGGTGCTGGATTACGTTCTATGCAGATGATGCTACAGTGCACTGCACAGCAAGGACGATATCAGGAACAAGGGACATACTTCGTACAGATCTGCAACTGCTTCAGGACTGGATTTTTGAAAACAAACTGGTTCTGAATGCGACAAAAATGAGGAGCATGTTACTTAAACCTAGATACGTGTACACAAATTATTTACTTTATGTGGTTTTAGATGGATTGGAAATCGAACAAATGCGTGATTTCAAGCTACTTGGTGTTCTAGTGGACGATAAGCTGTCCTGGAGGAATCATATAAAATACATTGTGAAGAAAATGGGCAGAAGTATTGCGTGTATCAGGAGATGTTGTTCATTTTTAACGTCATCTTCCAGGGTTCTTGTGGCTAAATCTTCGGTGCCATCCCACTTGGATTGCTGTTCAGTGGTGTGGTTGGGTGCGGTAAACAAACTTCTGACTACACTTCAAACTGGGTCTTCCCTTTTACTCAGGGTAAGCCACGTCAGCTCTACATGAGAATCTCTCATGGCTCAGAGTGGAGGACTGGCTGAAATGTAATTTAATGGTAATCTTTTGGAGCATTTGTCATAGTAGACATCCTACAAGTCTACATGGCTATTCTACTCGACAAGCCATTTATGCACAATTAACCAGACCCAGAACTGAGGCAATCTGTCATTTATAGAGCAATAGTAATCTGGAATACACTATCGGCAGTGGTGACTGAAGCTGCTGGTAAAGAAACTTTTAAAAAGATTTTTTTTAAAGTTTATGTTTTCTTTAATGTAACTTCAATGTGTTTGGTTTTTAACTGGGTATGGATGTTTTTAATTTGGTGGTATTGCAATAAGAGTCTGTACTCATTTTATTTGAATGTATGTACATTTAGATTTTTGCCATTGTGGGCGCTTATAATGCTTTTAGTAGTGGACATTGTAGTTAAATTATAGGATTTTTATGGGTTGTATTTGATAAATGTTTTGTCTTTTTTTTTTGTCTTGCATGAATTGTTTTGGTAAATGACCCCAGATGTCGAGCTTTTATTTTGACAACTAATAGGGATTCATATGATAAACAATAAAAATAGGTTTAGCATTCAAATGATAATAAAAACAATATAAACATCATTAAACCATTGTTTATCTCTTAATACCATACTGGAACAAGAATGTGTGTGTTATATAGTTTGTGTTCACCTACCTTGACAGTAAATTTAAATGGAGCCATTGCACAACATCAGCTTTCACCTGTAAGACACAGTTACAGTAAAAACAGTCATGCCAGCTCAGCCTCCACAAACAATAGTTTTATCACGATTTTGATAAGGTAACCAAGCAAGGCCTCATCTAAAAATAGTTTATTAATAAAAGTGATTACTCCAAAATGTTAAAACACTTTGTTGGGTTATAATATGTAAAATTTCACTGACTTAAATGAAGTTTTTAAAAAGTCTACCTAGCTTCTTGTACTGGAGTTCATTAGCTATGTTTACGAGATAAATAGTTTATGCTAACCAGTCGAACGTTAATACACTTCTAGTTATTTTCACAACAACGACATACATTGTTTAAAAGGTAAATAAAAAAGACGTCATTAGTGAGTTAAGATTTCCTACCGCCAACAGGTTTGAAACGCCAACATGGCAGCAAGAGATGTCGTCATATACATTTTGTAGTCCTAAGACCGCTGTAGTTCTAAAATTGGACCAAAGAGTTTAGCTGTTCTCGGATGACAAAAAACGAGAAAAATCAAAAGTATCAAAGAAAGCGTTCAAGAAATGTGTTTCTCTATATAAATGAGGACAACTGTAAAAGTTTTAGTAGTTACTCAACAAGGACCTCATTACTAGCACAGGACCCAACGCTGCAAGCGCTACCATGGAAACAAAAGGTGTCTTTACTATGCCTGTATTAATTTTATGTATTTGTAATTCAAATACTTTCAAATATAAATTAATTACCATGAAATTACTTACATTATGCTATTATTTTTGTTCAATGTGTACATACTTAGTTTAAATAAATAATAACGTATATTTATTTTCACTTTTTGACAGGCATATTTAGGAGTTCTAGCACACATTAATGCCTGAGTAAAGCAGGGACGTTAATGTTTTCGTTCGCTGGTTTCCTGACAGACTAACTAGACTAATGTCTCATTGCGAACCAGTGTTGTGTTGCCGGTGTTCAAAAGTAGTTAATCGGTCTATCTGTTGCTGTTTAGGCGTCGATCTTGTGCTAAACTTGAGTTAGCTTCTCGGGTGATGTCGCGCCTCGTGAAGAAATGTCCATCTGTTTGTACGGATTTGCCTCTGAGCAACGCAGATGTTTGTGGAAAGCTCCGTTTAATGATGGAGCTTCTGAGATCGTGTTACGGTCCGACAGCTAGGCTTAAACAAGTTCATAATAACATTGGAGGATTGGTGGTAACGACTTCGACGTCTTCTGTTCTGCTTCCAGCTATCACATCCTCCCATCCTCTTATTAACGTGATGAAATCCTCCCTTCTTAGTCACGTCCACCGCTTCAGTGACTGTGGCTTGTTTGCTGCTATTCTCTGTTTGTCTCTTGTGGAACAAGCAAAGCTGTCTGGTGTCAGAGAGCATGCTGTGATCAGAGTAAATAATCACCTGCTGGCTATGTGCATTAGTTACCTACAACAAGATGGCTGCAGCTGCAAAGTCAGTCTTGACTTCTGCAGGAGTCAGAACCTGATCGCTTTAGCTCGTAGTGTCATCTCCAGCAAGCCAGCGTGTGTTCTGACTGAGCTGGAATCACTCCACATCAGCAGGTTGGCAGTGCATGCCTTCTTACTCACTGTTCCCTGCAGCATCCCAGGTACAGTCAGTCTTGGTAAAATAGTGACTGTTACCATTAAGGGACATTCTGTCCTGGAATCTGCCGTGTTCACAGGCTTACTGGTAGACGTGCCTGAGGACAATTTCTTTGACACGAAAGACAGCTTTTCTGCCCCGCTGCTTATGGTTTTGTTCAGTGCATCTTTGGCTGGAGACCTCTGTGAAGTAGGTGAAGGTGTGATCCAGGCTCACCCACATCTGGACACTGCCTCACAGATCCTGGATCAGCTTCTAGAGCTTGGAAAGCAGGTGGTTAAAGATGAGGTGAGGGTGTTTGTCTGCCAGAAGGTCATCCACCCAGTTTTACAGCGCTTCTTGAGATGTCACGGTGTATTTGTCATTGAGAGACTTGGAGTTGCTCTGATGGAGCCACTTACTCAGATGACAGGTACGCGTCATGGCGATTAGCAGTTATACTCATTTATGTCATTCTGTTTGAAAATATAATTGTAATTAATGAATCACTGGGACACACATAAATGAAATTATACCCTGCATCCTAAATATTCTTCTTTGTTATAGGTGCTCAACCCGTGGCCACATTACACAGCACCCCCCCAGCCGTGGCCTATGGGAAGATAAGGCATCTCAGTGTCAAGCAGTTTGGTCCCAAGAAGTTGCTCCATTTACAGCCTTTCGAGGAATCAACAGTCTGCACCATGGTTCTGTGTCACAGGAACGAGACTATGCTGAATGAGCTGAAGGTAAAAAAAAAGGTTTTAAGCAGCAGTGTGGAAGTTTTTGGGATCAACGTTAGCAGATAAAAGGATTATAGAATTGCATCTTTTGTTTGTTTTTGAAGTTGTTCATTTAACGTGATTTATAATTTGTGCACACAACAAATACAATCATGTATTAAATGCTATATTGAGTATATTGTGAGAAAATATTAATTATATGATTGCATAAGACAAAACAAACTTAAATGACCTGACATCAGATGTATATCTAAAGTCAGGGAAGTGTCAAACCAGTCATGTGACGTCCTTTTATGTTTGTTTTAAAGGTGGTGTCCCAGAAGACCGAGCATGTATTGAGACTCACCCTCAGGGAACCATCTGCCTTACTGGGAGGCGGCTGTACTGAGACCCACTTAGCTGCTTACATCAGACACAAAGTTAATCTCTGATTTTAAATTGTTTACATTTGAATTTTCATATCACCAGCAGAGATGTTTCATGGTTTTATTTTACTGTAGTGCAAGAATGAAGTATCAGAGACAGCAACAGGATTGGGCTGCTCGCAGACGGAGTATCTTCTTGCCGTTGAGGGATTCTGCCACTCTCTGGAGTTTGTTGCCAGCTCTCTGGAGCACGATGGTGGGACTTCTGTCAGCGATCTGACCCATGCTCACAACTGGACTTTCCCTCCAGACATCCTGGAAGAACAAATGGATGGGAGTGTGGGATTCTGTGGCTGTGGTGTGGTGGGAAGCTCTTCGAGTACAAAGTGGACTTTTCTGAAAACAGAACATCCAGGTTTCTCTCCTGTTCCTGTTGTTAGAGACACTCCTGTGCAGCCAAGTGTGCTGGACTCCTTCGCAGCTAAACTCAGCGCATTCCAGGTTGCCGTGGAAACGGCTAACCTTGCACTGGATGTGAGATATGTTATTCAAGATGTGAACTGATTAAACTTTCATCCTCTGATGATAAAACTAGAACAGATGCTGCAGGCTGTTGTTAAATTACTCTTTGTTCTCAGAAATGAGGAAAACTGATTTTATTTTAGAACTCAAATCAATGCAAACAAAACATTTCAATGTTTTTTTTCCAACTTGTTATTACAAACAAACCCACAGGATCATAACTGTGATCTTGTTGCTTGATAGAGTGAAAGGTGCAGTAGGAAATGTTTTTCTGGAGCTTGTTTTTTTTTTTTTTTTGCCATATTGCTTGAAGTGCTCCTCACATGCTGATGGCAATAAACTAAATACTTCATTTAAAAAAAAAGGAATAATTTAATTGCCTCTGAAATGTAGAATCCTGAAAAAACCTCATCCAATCATTGTGAACATCTCCTCCTTTTCGATTGGCTCCTGATCCGTCCATCAAACTGCCCTCTGACCGTCCCTCCCCCCTCAGCGCATCCCCTTCTATGTGCATGAATCACACGTTCGCAGCTCAACAGGAAGCAAAGCCAGAGTCGAGCTATCGAGTGTAACAGACAGAATGTTCTATTCTGTTTAGAACCCGGTTCTGTTCTCACTGGGAAACATTTACGTGACGAACTCGTTGTCAGTGAGCACAGCGTGTCCCCTGTTGGCTGGCAGAGCCGTTGGTGAGTTGCCTTGGGCAACACGCTTATGTGCATGTCAGGAGCCGGCACAACAGAGAGAACGAGTCTGAGGAGGTGCAGGACTGGTTCTGAAAGTTTTGATCTGTTAATGGGGTTTACTCAGATTGTCTGATGTGAGTTGGTGTGATTTTGAAGTTAAGAACAAACCAAGGAAGCTAAAAGTGCCTCTTTTTTCCACCATAAAAATACATTTATATAAGCTAGCATGCTAAATTGTTACATGGTTACGATGGTGATTTATGTTGGGAATTATGACGATGAGTCTAAAACAGAAAACCGAACCCTCTGGAACAAGCATTTCACGTTTCTGTATTCTGGGGGTGTGGCTTAAGCCCGGACCACACTGCATTTTTCAGACAAATCTCTCGTGAACAGAATTGTGACAAAAAATGGTGAACGTGAGGGTGATTTGGAAGTCTGTGGCCATCCAGTGTGACCGGCTCTGCGACAGCTTATTGAGCACCCTCAAAACCAATGTCAGCCTCCAAAAGTCTTTAAGCACTGCTTGAAAACCTCCGACTCCCGTCTGCAGTCGACCAATGAAAATGCGCCCAGGGATCGATGCAAACAACTAGTGACCAGAGTACAACAGAAGAGTAGAATTAGCAACAGTGGAAGCTACACGGTGGAAGATGCGGACCACTCCTTTCTGGAGTTCGGTTTGGAGTCTGATAAAAGAAGTTTAATCAGTGGAGCTTTTTTTCTCTTTTCAGCATCGTTGTTTCGTTTAGCTCTCGGCTTTTAGTCACGTATGCTTTTCGGGGGTGTGCTTGTGACGTTAGCTCATCCCGCTAGAGTGAGAGGTTGTGCAGTTTGGCTAACTGAAATCTTGGACCATACAGCGTGCCACCTCAGTAGAGTTCTCACGGTGTGTCATGAGCAGTCCGAAAAACGCGCAGTGGGTCCGGGCTTTAAGGGTTTGATCCTGGAGAAAGGTTGGACCTTAGAATTGTGGATTTTCAAAAAGAATCTGGGTGTTTCTCAATGCCAAGGAACCTTGCCTTGATGTCTAGGCCCCGCCCCGGTTGCCTAGGAGATATGTCATGAGGAGCCGCCAAAACGTGTTCCAATGTTCATGTTCTGCCGAGGCATGTGTTCTCCATTTGTTAGCCGTTTAGCTAGCTGAGCAAGGCTACACGAGAGGTGTCTTGTAGCCTAGCCTTGGTCAAAAATTAGCCAGAACACACCACAGTATTTTCAAAAGGACGGCGGATCAGAAGCTGGCAGCTACTTCGGGGGCAATTTTCAAGTTTAAAAGCAAGACAACAAATTAAAAAAATTTTTTTTTTTGGATCCAAAGAAGTTACCTATGGTTGGTTAGTTGCTTAGTAGTTGCAGCTTCGGTGGCTAGCGGGTAGTAACTCACTTATATTTTTAATTTAATAAACATATACACAATTTAAAAATTAAAAGGCTCATTATATATTTATATTGACACTAATACGTATAAAATATAACGTTATCTCTCGCGTCACGTGACGTTACGTGACCGCCGTGGAAGCCGCGGTCACGTGATGCAGGTCTGTTCCATTTTACCGTTTTCTTTGACCAAGGAAGGACAGTGTCCTCGTAAGCAAGGCACCTGGCCTCGCAAGACATCGCCTCGCAAGGCCAGGCGCCGTCACATTGAGAAACACCCCATCTGTGTTGAACGGCGAGAAAAAGCATCTCATATTGCACCTTTAAATACATTTCATATTCTTAAATTGAGAGGAAATGATAAGACAAACTATGATGGATTTCACAAAAGATAAAGATGAAAAGGATCCTTAAAAAATGTTCTTTTTTTCTCCCTTTAAAAGAGGAATGGGATCAAAGCCTTTCGAGACTTAGGGTATTCTTTAAACTTCTCCTGGTAAAACCTGCAAGAAATATGCAAAACAAAACTGTGATCAGAAACAGAACTAGTGCAGTCAGAGTACTCTAGATGAATGTGTCAGACACCTGTGATGGTAGTAGGCTCTGGGTCCAAGAAAGCAGAAGCTGAAGATGAAAAAGGAGATTGATGGAAGGGACCAGGTTGCCACAGCATAGCCGAGCCACTCAGCAATCTCTCCTAAGTAGTTGGCACCAGACACATATTCAAACAGACCTCCTGCAGCAGATAAAAACGCTGCGTGTCACTACAGGCACTTGCTCGAAAAAGAGGAACCTCAAGTATTACCTGTTTCATACCAGTAGGAATCTTGTAAACTATCTCCTTTGGTTTCCTCAGGTTGCGTAGGATATAGTCGCTGTGAACGTTAATAGCCATTCCGAGGTAAAACAGCAGCAAACCTGAAAGAGATGTGTTACCACATGATTTAAGAGCATGCAGAAGGACATAAAAGTGGTCTTCTTTTATTTTTAAAATCAAAGTTGGTCACCGATATTGTAGCGGAAACAAGATGACCATTTGTCATCAAACTGGGCACAGTGCAGCAGATAGTGGCCCTGCAGGAAACCATTAATGGAGCAGAAGAGACCTGCCGACACCATCACACCCAGTGGGAAAGGCTGTCCTCTGGTCAGCAGCGAATACACAAACGTCCTGATTCATGGAGAGATGACAGACAGTGAGAGTGGAACTGTAACGTTACTGGTTTATGCAAACATCAAGTTTCAGAGCAATGACCGGATTTTTATGGTCCCTGTTGGACCCAATTAAACTGGTAGGAAATATTTTGCAAACAGAATTTGTGACACATCCCTTCACATTCACAACAAACAGTCAAAAATAATCCAGAGCACCTGCTCTTACCTTTGAAAGTAGTGCAAGAAAAAGGTTTTCAACAAAAGATACTTCCCCATTGTGGAGGGTTTGTGTGGGAGCTGCATCAAAAGCAGGGGAATCAGGAACGCTGGCATCTCCTGGAGGAACCAGGCAAGTCTAGCAGGTACTGTCCTAGCGAGAGGAGAGAGGATGATGTGGCGTCCATAGGCGGCTTGAGCCTTCTTGTGATGGACCAGATGGGCAAGTCCCACCAGGATCAACCCCCAGCTCAGATAGCTCACCACAGTCTCATAGCACTGCATCTTACAGGTTGTGATCCTTGTCACAGGACGTCTCTTCTGGACTAACCTTTATGCATCTGTATGAGATGTAAACAGTCTGGCTCCTCCCAAAACGGAGGAGGTTTGACAACCTGCTGAAATATGACTGTCCCCCTTTTCACACATGCAAATATTGCAGGAGGTGAGGTAGAACAACAACCAGGAAGTCATCTGAGACAAATGACAAATGGTTTCCCGTGAAAATGAATTCCTAACCCGTTGGTTTTCTGGTCAAATACTTGGTAGAATATGTATCTTACTGAAGTCAGGGCTGGATTTTATTGGAGGATAAAAACAATAAGAACGAATGAATAAAAAATTCCAAATGAATAAAAAATATATACCTTTTTTCTTGGCATGGACAATAAAGCAATAGCTTTGATTTTGAGGAAAAGTTATCTTATCTCCTGCAGATGACTCTTTGAACAACCTCACTTTGGTGAAATAGGGATTAGTTAGCTACAGCATGGCCACTTAAAGAGCAAGTCACCCCCAAATCAGCTTTATTTTTGCTGATAAACTAAATAAATGCGTGTCTAATCGTGCTGCAGACACGTGTAGTCAATAGTTTAACACTTTAGTGCATCTTTGTTAAATTTTAAATCTTCTGCCTAAAACGTCAGTGCTGTGACATCATCAGATAAAAACTCTGCACTGCAATTGAATTTAAATCTGCCACCGCTATTGGCTAAGAGGTACGCTATGATGTCAGCTGGTACATTATGATGTCACTATGTCATTGTGAGCCTGTGTGTGTTTGTTGGCAGCTCCACCCTCTCGGTCTGCCAGGCAACAACATTTGTTGCATTTTTCAAACATGAAGTGGGAGGGGAGTAAGGTGGTGACTTGCTCTTTAAAGTGACTCTAAGCTGTTTTTAACACATGAATTAATTCCTTCAGAAGTGGGGTTTAGTTACTGTACAGGCAGAAAATGACCACCTTCACAAGGTGCAGCACTCTGCTGAGCAGAAACGGCTGCTATGAGGTGAGGATCTCAGACATTCGGCAGATTCCCGGATTAGAGCTGTGGCTTCACCAGCAAAGACAGGTGAGAGGGATTTTATGCTAATTTTCCTTATTGTGACATCACAAAAAGTATCTTTTTGAAACAGGGCACTTTAGGCACGTAATTCCTAAACACTAACAAAAAGTGGACAGGAGGATTTTAGTGTTTGGAGTGTTTATATAGCACAGTATAGATCCACATGGCAGCGCAAAAGTGAGATTTGCATAACGTCCCCTTTAAGAATGTTGCATATGTAATATTGTTGTTATTGCGTCTTTTAATGTGGAATATTTATTGCAGCAGTGATAACTAATGGGGATCCCGAATAAGGAAATACATTCATTATTATCTTTCTCTATGGTGCCTGGATGAGACAGGGACAAATACACTCCCCAGTATCCTAACATTATTTACAGCGAAGCACTGTCATGGCACCTGGCGTATGTATGTGTGAACCTTTCTGCACCAACGGAGTGCAAGCAGGTTCTTCCCTAATGTGTGTGTGCTTCTTTAAACAGTAATATCTCTCCCCAGGAGGATGGATCTGCCTGACAGCCAGGGACCAGGATTCGCCACTTAATGCATAACAGAGCAGTCATCCTGAGCTCAAAGGAGTGTCTCTGAGAAGTGACATCATCTGAGCGTGTGCAGCTGCTTAGCAAGTGGCCACCAGAACCCACCAAAGAAATTTCACATCGTCATCCTCCCTGTTTGCACAAATTCCATCACAAGTTAAATAACTCTAAGCTGTCCTTTAGGAGGATGGAGGTAACTCTAACTGGACTGACTCAACCAATCACAGCTTCCTACGCGGTTTAAAACATTAAGAAATTTTTTTATCCAAAAGCACATTTCAAGTGTGATCAGCAGCTTTTTCCTTGGAACACTTTCCTCATTTTGCTGGAGATTCTTTGCTGTGAACTTAAAGAGCAAGTCACCCCCAAATCAACTTATTTTTTTCTGATAAACTATATAAAGGCGTGTCTAATCGTGCTGCAGACACGTGTAGTTAATAGTTTAGCACTTTAGTTAAAATTTTAATTTTCTGCCTAAAACCGTCAGTGTTGTGCCGTTGTCAGGTAAAACCTCTGCACTGCATTTGAATTTAAATCTGCCATCGCTATTGGCTAAGAGGTACACTAGAACATTAGCTGGTACCATATGATGTCACAATGTCGTTGTGAGCCTGCGTGTGTATTTGTTAGCGGCTCCGCCCTCTCGGTCTGCTAGGCAACAGCATTTGTTGCATTTTTCAAACAGGAAGTGGGAGTGGAGTAATACTCTGGTTGGGGGTGACTTGCTCTTTACGAGGTTTGTAATCTGGTGGTTTATAATGAAAATTATGATTTCAACATAATGTTCTAGCACAACTTTTAGTCCTAATCTGTGTCTTTTTTCCATCCTTTTACTGCTGACTTAAAAACATCCCTGCTGCCAGAATAACACAGGGACAGCAGTAGTGGGTTGTCCAGTAATCGGAAGGTTGCAGGTTCGATCCCAGCTCTGTCCAGAGAATGCTGCTGTTGTGTCCTTGGGCAACACACTTAACTCGCCTTGCCTGCTGGTGGTGGTCAGAGGGACTGGTGTCGCCTGTGTTTGGCAGGCCTCACCTTTGTCAGTGCGTCCCAGGGCAGCTGTGGCTACATTGCAGCTCATCATCACCAGTGTGTGAATGGGTGACTGTGTTGTGAAGTGCCTTGGGGGGTTGTAGAACCCTAAGAAGGCACTATACAAATACAGGCTATTTACCAATTTTCTAGTTTAACAGCAGGAGCTTCACAAAAAGAGATTTAGGACTTTCCATATATAAAAACATACTATCGCAGCAAAATGTACTTCATTACAAAATAAGACAACAGACCAAATGTGCTTTTCAGTACATTTTTACTTTTTTTGTAACATGAATCCTCTGCCTTTTCTGAAGAGCCTTTTGCGATGCTTTGTCAGTGGAACCTGAGATCAGAAAAACTCCATTACAGGAGTAGTTAAGCAGTATGCTTTAGGTTTGTGATGCTTGCGTTCCATTTCTCAAACAAAAGAGAAACAAAATACAAAGAAAAAACTTCTAAAAAGACCAAATATCCACAAACGTAAACTAAAGATGAACAGTGTGGAGGTTTAAGCCTTCATCTCTTGCTACAAGAATGAAGTGATGTGAACAGGAAGAGAAACGCTTCTCCCTGCAGGAGGGAGGACAAGGAGGGCGACACTAGAGTGGACAGGTCTCAGTGTGTTGAGCTGTTGGCAAAGAGGGAAAAGTACACAAAACTCAAGAACAAACGTAAGACTGGAAGTGAGAATACGCTTTCTATATATTTATGTATAAATGTGCAACAGCGAGAAAAGGCACAATAGCACAGTGTGTCATGCTTTGCTAGTTTCCTGTAGATTCACTTCAGAGGTCAGGAGTCTGGAGATCGGACTTTCAGCCTTCACCTGACACCTGCATGTGGGAACTATTTGCTTTCAGAGGGAAAAGTTAGCGAGATCGACTAAATCAGCAATCACTGCGCCGCCATTGTCAGTTTTTCAAGTTTGTGACTCAGAACCATTGGATCGGACCTTTAACCAGTTAGCTCATAAAGAGGAGTTTAGGGCAGCAGCAACTTCCTGCCGTTGTTAGTAACCATCAGCCTGTGGTTATGTGCTCGACTATTAAATAAGTTCACCCGATAAACCCAAATACACAATTACAGTTGATGTTAAATCCTGTATCATAGTAATAAAAAAATATTAGATGAATTTTCAAAATCTAAATGTGAACATTTGCCCTTTCTACCTGTTCTCTTATTTTTTGGCTTTTCTCAGTCAAAGCAAAAACCAAAACAAGAAATAAAAGCCGTAACTAATATAGGTCGTGTCATTTAAAGTGATGTTGGTCACCTTGTTCAGACTGTACCAAAAACTGTAACAAATGAAGTAAAACATAAACGTCCAGTGGCAGAGGTGATATTACAGAGATTTAAGGTGGCGGGAGTCGATGACGTACACACAAACCTGATTGTATTACATCTCTGTAGTACCCACAATGCACTCTGGCCCACAGAAATTCTATTTCCTGCTTGGATCATGTGACTAGAATCGGTGTTACACAGCTTCTGAGCTGAGGAGAGAAAGCCGTTACCCAAATCTACACACCAGTTTAGTAAATACTATTACATCTATCAAAAACTTCTAAAAGACTAAAATAAGAATAAAATATGTTATAATAATAAAGCAATCTTATATTGTTTTTGGTTTTTGTACAGTAGGGAGTTAGTGAGCTTTGTTGGGTGCAGCCCTTTGTTAGCGATGGTAAAGGTGTGAGCAGCATCGAGCAGTCAAACACTCGTTTCACTCAAACTTATCCGGCAACATCCGGATCTTCTCCGTGAAGATTAGTAAATTTTATTTTAATTCCTTTTTTTCTGGGGAAAATTACAAGAGAGAGGTTGAGTTCTAATAAGGTCAGCTGCATTATAACAACTCAAATCTTCCTTTTAATGCTTTTGGAAAACAACAAGCGACAAACTGCAAAAACCTAAGTGAGATTTCTCGTTCCCACAAAAAAATCCAAGTCCAGTTAAAGTGACTCCTTTGTTCTTCAGAGTTATCTGAAATCTGCAAAAACTTAAGTGAATGGAAAACTATCATATTGGCTTCGAATGACTAAAATCCTTCCTGCGAATTGTGGGCACGACTGGGGTTGGTGGGGTCGGGGGTTATGGCGATAGATAGTAATGGCAGGGTGGCGGCGTCGCGGTGGCCCCTGCAGAAGTTGACCTCAATGAACGACGAGCGCTCCAGCGGCGTAACTCACAGAGCTGTCCTGCCAGTTCCTGCACTGACTCGACTGGGCGTAGTTCAGGAAAGAAAAGTTCATTTCTAATCCGGACTTCCTAAGCTCGGCCACGGCCTGGAAAACAAAGGGGAGAGAATTTGGTGTTGATTGATGCGTAACGGCGTGAACAGTTACACAATTAGGACATGTGTAGGACTCATTTTACTGTTCAAGTTACACAAAGCAGCGGGCATGGTGCAGCCCGAAAAACAAAAACAAGTCAAATGTCTAGACAGTGAGGTCTTCATGACCACAACCTGCTCCGTTCCTACTGTAAGAAGTCCTCTAGACCCTTAAAATCCATCTCATCTGTGTATTTTGTTCACAAGCAAGAAATACGCTTCTTTTGTTGGTATTTTACTGCTCTCACAGGTTATTTTACTCACTTATCTTCAACAATGTGCAATAGTGTTTGATGTTCCAGCCAAAATATCTCATTAACCACTGGACGGGTTGTTGTACATCTACAGCCGAGTCACTGTGGTGTTGATTCGAGATGGACTCAAATCGACCGCAGTCAACAAAAAAAGGACTAGAACTCATGATAAATGTTATGTGGTAGTAGCTCTGAGGCATTCATATCAGAGATTTTTTGATACCACGTGAGATTGAATGCAGCGTTGTTTTTAAGATTTGCCAACAACAGTAACGTTTTTTTCAGTGTACAGTAAGACGATCATGGTTTTAAAACCCGGCGTGAGAGGTGGCAGGAGATGCCGATATGTAGAGGTCACAGTCAGCCAATATTTGCTGCTGACTTTGATTGATTTATTGATTTATTCACTTCAGACCATTCAAACAAACTAAAATCAAATACAAAATAAAAATGTCTTCATTTAGAGGATTTAGAGATTCCTCTTTGGTCCTTAAAGGGGAACAGGGAGAAGCTCAAGGCTTTTCATTGCCCTATCCCTCAACATCTTTCCATTTCCAAAATCCAAATAAACATCTCTACACACACACACCATAAACAAAATCAATAAGCAAAATTAGATTTTTCACATTAGCAAGAAATCATATAAACACTTATACTTTTACATCTCAAATAAAATGCCAAATCAAAATCCTAATTCAAAAGTTGATCTTATTGACTTGAATTGCTTTACCAAGTCTTTAATGTCTATCATAATTCGTGAGCAAATTAGTCATTTTCCAAAAGTTTTCTTCTATATAATTTTTTTAATTGTACAACAGTTAAACATTTTTTTATGTTTTCCTCTGTGCTATTCCACCAAACCACTCCTTGGACTGAAATGGTCATACTTTTTTGTGTGGTACGTACACATGATTGTTTATGTTTATGTTTATTCATTTAGCAGACGCTTTTATCCAGAGCGACTTACAATTTATAACCTGTAGGGCATGTTGTGATCTGTGGGGGAACCGGAGTACCCGGAGGAAACCCACGCATGCATGGGGAGAACACAGAACTCCACGCAGAAAGGCCACAGTAGAGTTTCGAACCTGCAACCTTCGTGCTGTGAGGCAACAGTGCTAACCACTGCGCCACCATGTCTCGAGTTATTTTGGCTTCTGAGCATATAATCTCCTTCTCTCTCCCTAAAATGTTTTTGTAAATTCAGTGGAAGAAGTAGATTTTTCGCTTTATACATTATTTGCACTTAGTTACATTTAACAATATCGTTGACTTTAAACAGATTAGATTTTAAAAATAGATTACTGGTGTGCTCATAGAATCCTACATTACAGTGGGGCAAAAAAGTATTTAGTCAGCCACCGATTGTGCAAGTTCTCCCACTTAAAATGATGACAGAGGTCAGTAATTTACATCATAGGTACACTTCAACTGTGAGAGACAGAATGTGAAAAAAAAATCCATGAGAGACAGAATGTGAAAAAAAAAAATCCATGAATTCACATGGCAGGATTTTTAAAGAATTTATTTGTAAATCAGGGTGGAAAATAAGTATTTGGTCACTTCAAACAAGGAAAATCTCTGGCTCTCACAGACCTGTAACGTCTTCTTTAAGAAGCTTTTCTGTCCTCCACTCGTTACCTGTATTAATGGCACCTGTTTGAACTCATTATCTGTATAAAAGACACCTGTCCACAGCCTCAAACAGTCAGACTCCAAACTCCACTATGGCCAAGACCAAAGAGCTTTCGAAGGACACCAGGAAATGAATTGTAGACCTGCACCAGACTGGGAAGAGTGAATCTACAATAGGCAAGCAGCTTGGTGTGAAAAAATCAACTGTGGGAGCAATTATCAGAAAATGGAAGACATACAAGACCACTGATAATCTCCCTCGATCTGGGGCTCCACGCAAGATCTCATCCCGTGGGGTCAAAACGATAATGAGAACGGTGAGCAAGAATCCCAGAACCACACGGGGGGACCTGGTGAATGACCTGCAGAGAGCTGGGACCACAGTAACAAAGGTCACCATCAGTAACACACTACAACGGCAGGGAATCAAATCCTGCAGTGCCAGACGTGTTCCGCTGCTGAAGCCAGTGCATGTCCAGGCCCGTCTGAAGTTTGCCAGAGAGCACATGGATGATACAGCAGAGGATTGGGAGAATGTCATGTGGTCACATGAAACCAAAGTAGAACTTTTTGGTATAAACTCAACTCGTCGTGTTTGGAGGAAGAAGAATACTGAGTTGCATCCCAAGAACACCATACCTACTGTGAAGCATGGGGGTGGGAACATCATGCTTTGGGGCTGTTTTTCTGCTAAGGGGACAGGACGACTGATCCGTGTTAAGGACAGAATGAATGGGGCCATGTATCGTGAGATTCTGAGCCAAAACCTCCTTCCATCAGTGAGAGCTTTGAAGATGAAACGTGGCTGGGTCTTCCAACACGACAATGATCCCAAACACACCGCCCGGGCAACAAAGGAGTGGCTCCGTAAGAAGCATTTGAAAGTCCTGGAGTGGCCTAGCCAGTCTCCAGACCTCAACCCCATAGAAAATCTGTGGAGGGAGTTGAAAGTCTGTGTTGCTCGGCGACAGCCCCAAAACATCACTGCTCTTGAGAAGATCTGCATGGAGGAATGGGCCAAAATACCAGCTACTGTGTGTGCAAACCTGGTCAAGACCTATAGTAATCGTTTGACCTCTGTTATTGCCAACAAAGGTTATGTTACAAAGTATTGAGTTGAATTTTTTGTTATTGACCAAATACTTATTTTCCACCCTGATTTACAAATAAATTCTTTAAAAATCCTGCCATGTGAATTCATGGATTTTTTTTCACATTCTGTCTCTCACAGTTGAAGTGTACCTATGATGAAAATTACTGACCTCTGTCATCATTTTAAGTGGGAGAACTTGCACAATCGGTGGCTGACTAAATACTTTTTTGCCCCACTGTATGTATTATTCTTATTGCCTTTTTTGGAAGATTAAATAACGGCTGTAAAGTGGTTTTATAAGAATTTCCCCACACCTGATGGCCGATATCTAAATGTTTTCTGCCTTATTGGGAGCTTAAGTCACACCCATCTACTTCTGAACCATGGGTCACCAGAAGAACAAAAAAATGAATGCAAGTCAACGGGGCCAAAAACGTCGTTGTCGTCTTCCTCTGCTTATCCGGGTCGCGGGGGCAGCATCCCAACTAGGGAGCTCCAGACCGTCCTCTCCCCGGCCTTCTCCACCAGCTCCTCCATCAGGACCCCAAGGTCTTACCGGACCAAATTGGAGATGTAACCTCTCCAGCGTGTCCTGGGTCGACCCGGGGGCCTCCTGCCGGCAGGACATGCCCGAAACACCTCCCCGGGGAGGCGTCCAGGAGGCATCCTGGCCAGATGCCCAAACCACCTCAACTGACTTCTTTCGATCCGGAGGAGAAGCGGTTCTACTCCGAGTCCCTCCCGAATGTCCGAGCTCCTCACCCTATCTCTAAAGCCTGGTTTATACTTCTCCGTCAGCTCCACAAGGGACAGACACGCACGGATTGACGGAAGCGTTTTGCTCTCATACTTCTCCGTCTCCTGGGGAGTGTTGCAAAGCAATTGCCCAGCAGGACAACAGAGGGCGTAGCGCTGTTCTGTGGTATCCTGTCATGTATCGGTCCAAGATAGTGTGTTTATATTGTGTTTTTTGTGTATATAAGAGACTTTTAACACGAACATATTTTTCTCATTCTCCCACCGCTTCATGCGCTCACCCACGTTTCCTGTCATTTCCGTCCACAAATAAAACGCTTGCTGCGCATCTTTTCACCCCTCCAGTCACGGGAAGATGAAACGTTCATATTTTTAGTTTTTTCGCGAGGCATTCTTCAAGCTTCTCCGAGTCTGCCGCTAGTTATACTCGGCTCTCTTTGCAATGGCGGCGCTGTAAACAACAGCGGCATCCTGACCAATCACAAGGTTGCGTAATCCGTCTTGTTCGACGGATGTTTTAAAAAGTGGGCTCGACTCCGTACGTACTTGCGTGCCTGCCGGAGCCCTACGCAAGGACGGATAATGGCGTTGCGTGTCTCCGCACTGACGCAGACGGAGAAGCATAAATCAGGCTTAAGGCTGAGCCCGGCCACCCTACGGAGGAAACTCATTTCGGCCGCTTGTATTCGTGATCTCGTTCTTTCGGTCATTACCCAAAGCTCATGACCATAGGTGAGGATTGGGACGTAGATCGACCGGTAAATCGAGAGCCTGGCTTTCTGGCTCAGCTCCCTCTTCACTACGACAGATCGGCTCAGCGTCCGCATCACTGCAGACGCCGAACCAATCCGCCTGTCGATCTCCCGATCCCTCCTACCCTCACTCGTGAACAAGACCCCGAGATACTTAAACTCCTCCACTTGAGGTAGGACCTCTCTCTCAACCCGGAGTTGGCAAGCCGCCCTTTTCCGGTCGAGAACCATGGTCTCGGATTTGGAGGTGCTGATCCTCATCCCAGCCACTTCACACTCGGCCGCGAACCTACCCAGCAAGAGCTGAAGGTCAGAGCTGGATGAAGCTAGGAGGACCACATCATCCGCAAAAAGCAGAGACGAGATTCTCCTGCCACCAAACTTGACACACTCCACACCACGGCTGCGTCTAGAAATTCTGTCCATAAAAGTGATGAACAGAACCGGTGACAAAGGGCAGCCCTGGCGGAGTCCAACCCTCACCGGGAACAGGTCCGACTTACTACCGGCTATGCGGACCAAACTCATGCTCCTCTGGTAAAGGGACTGAATGGGGCAGCAGTAGCTCAGGTGGTAGAGCGGGTTGCCTCATGATCGGAGGGTCGTGAGTTCAATTCCAGCTCCCGCCAGGGGTATCCAGCTGTTGTGTCCTTGGGCAAGACACTTCACCCAACTTGCCTGTGTTAGTGAAGGTCAGAGGGGCCGACGGCGCCAAATGGCAGCCTCGCCTCTGTCAGACCTCCCCAGGGCGGCTGTGGCTACAAGTAGCTTACCATCACTAGCAGTGTGTGAATGTAAGAGTGTGTGGGAAGCGTCTTTGAGTGTCTAGAAAAGCGCTATATAAGTTTAATACATTATTAACAGAAAGCCACCCACCCCATACTCCTGGAGCGTCCCCCACAGGGTGCCCCTGGGGACACGGTCATAAGCCTTCTCCAAATCCACAAAACACATGTGGATTGGTTGGGCAAACTCCCATGCCCCCTCCATCACCCTTGCAAGGGTATAGAGCTGGTCCACAGTTCCACGGCCAGGACGAAAACCACATTGCTCCTCGTCAATCTCAGATTCAGCTATCGATCGCACCCTCCTCTCCAGTACCTTGGAGTAGACCTTTCCAGGGAGGTTGAGGAGTGTGATCCCCCTATAGTTGGAACACACCCTCAGGTCACCCTTCTTAAAGATGGGGACCACCACCCCGGTCTGCCACTCCACAGGAACTGCCCCCGATGACCACGCAATGTTGCAGAGACGTGTCAACCATGACAGCCCTACAACATCCATAGCCTTGAGATACCCAGGATGAATCTCATCCGCCCCCGGGGCTCCGCCGCTGTGTAGTTGTTTGACTACCTCAGCAACTTCTGCCCCCGAGGTAAACCCCAACACACAGGCAGAGAGTCTTGGGGCTAACAAAAAGCCAACCCCAGCCAACCCCAGCCCTCTGCCTCTCACCCGGAGCAGCTCCAGCGAAGGAGAGTGTCCAACCCCTGTCAAGGACTTGGGTTCCAGAGCCAATGCTATGTGTCGAGGTGAGTCCGACTATATCTAGCCGGTACCGCTCAACCTCTGCCACAAGCTCCTGCTCCTTCCCCTCCAGCAAGGTGACGTTCCATGTCCCAAAAACCAGTTTCCTTGTCCGGAGATCGGACCGCAAAGGCTCCCGCCTTGGTCTGCCACCCGATCCACACTGCACCGGACCCTTCATGTTCCTCCTGCGGGTGGTGGGTCCACAGTTGGATGAGCCCATGTATCCGGTTCGGGCTGGGCCCGGCCAGGCCCCATGGGCGAAAGCCCGGCCACCAGGCGCTCGCTCACGGGCCCCAACCCCAGGCCTGGCTCCAGGGTGGGACCCCGGTAACCCTCTGGGCCGGGTACTCCGACTCTTTGATTGCATATTCATGAAAGATCCTCTGAACCAGCCAAAAACGCTATTTTCTAATCCCATTTATGTGCCATGGGTTTCATATATAATGTCCGTGGATTTTAAAGACACATTCTGATGCCAAGAAGGCACAACTTTGAGAAGGGGCAAAAGTTATTTTAGGTTTTGTGTGAAAATACGTCCAGGACTACAAATGCGCTTCGCCAAATTGATGTCATCGAACCAGACACGGAGAAAAGCAGAGGAAAAAATGGCTGTGAGTTCAGCAAACTTTGAATCCTTCATCCAGGAGGAAAGAACCATCATAAATCTTGCCGAGTGGTGAGTAGCAGCTATGCTAGGACAGCGGAGATTCCGCGGTGATGTCATATTTGCGACGTGAAGACATCAGATTTGTAGTCATAGTAATTACAAATTTTTACAAGTTGATAAATCTCAACTTAGGAGACAAGCGTGGTCGAAACAAACATTAGTTTTCATTTAAATTGAAGTACAACATTTGTGCGATTCAGGGTTTAAGGTAGCCTAGTGAACTAGACCAAATTCTTGCTTTGCAAAGTTTGGTCTAGGCATGCTCCATTGGAACCTCAGCAGCTCCTACCAGGACTCTGGCTAGCCAATCACAGCTCTCTAGAGGGGTTTCAAACACATAAAGAGCTGTGATTGGTCCATAATGGTGGGCCAATCATAGTGCTCTATCTGCTTAGTGAACAAATCACAGAGCTTTATCTGCTTTGTGGGCCAATCAGGGCCCTCTATATGCCTGGTGGGTGGGATGATGCAACAGAGTGAAACAAGAGTATGTCACATTCATTGTCCAGTGGAATGCGGAGATCATTTGAAAGACAACGGTAGAACCCGCCCCACAACCGAGAGCCGTCAGTGGAGCGTGGCCAGACTAAATAATACATTTATTTAGTCTGGCTTGCCAGGCTAGGTTTAAGGCAAAGCGGAGCCAGGAATGAAAGGGAGGAGACTTATTGGATCCATCTTGGAACTCTGAACACTTGAATCTTGATGTTGAACCCTGCACAGTATTAACATCAAACAAACATTTACCTACAGATAAATATGTGACCAAGCATTGAAGATAAAACAGGCGAATAAAAAGAAACGTCGGTTAATAATATTTTAGAGCATTTATTATGCAGATGTTTTTAGGAATGTAAAAGTGCATTTAAATCAAATTCAGCAGCAGCATCACGCTGCCTGCAGATGTGCCTGTTTTTAAATTGGCTTTACTAAGAGGTATATCGGCTGATGCCCTATAATAAAAAATGGTCAGTATCATCCCGATGAAATCGGTCAGTTGATATATCGATCTATTTTTAGTTCAAGGCACAGCAGGCCTTTAACCGGAGGTAAAAAACAAAACTTAAGTGCAATAATGTTTAAGGAGTTTAGTAAGGCTATATAATACACTAAATAAAGAGTATGGAAAGCCAAAGGGTCATAATTTGGGTTATAAGTGCTGCTAAATATGCCACCAGGTATTTTTAAGCAACATTTAGCATTAGCTTCCCCAAACGATAATTGCACATTTGCACCCCTAGGAGAACACCCAGACTTGTTCCTCTGTAGCACTTACATTTAGCAGCACTCCGATTGGGTGGCGTCCACAGATGGTGTTGCGGTACTTCTTCAAGTAGTTGGTGAATGACATCGGATCCAGCTGCTCTATAATGCTCATTCCCTGTCAAGACGATGAACAAAATCAAGCAACACAACTTAAACAAGCTCCACATTTCCTCAAAGCTAATGACATTCACATTGGTTCTCTCTTTTGTGATGCACACATTTAGACCAGTTCTAACAACATGCAACAGGTCAACTACAAATGCGCTTGAATCAGTCTCCGTTACCATTTTATCTAGGTGCTCAATAGACCTGTAGATCTCTCCTTGAGATTCATCGTAGTACGTGTAACGAAACCGCTGACCTTCAACAAACAAAAGCAAACAGCTGAGATCAGTTTTGTCACATTCATATTATACAGCTTAAAAAAGTCCAATTTCTTCCAAGACCCAGCGTCTTTTTATGCGTGTCTTCTTCTGTTGTCAACTCACCCCAGTGGCAGAAGTCTGAGGAGATTATGAAGAGGTTTGAAGGGTCTGCCAGGTATTTGCTGAGCAGCTTCCCATATTCCTGCTCCTTAGACTCACTCAGAGCGCCCACAAGCACAGGAACGATACTGAACTCATCTTTGTGGCTGGAACAGCAGATCACCAAATTAACAACTGGAGTATCCCTCACCACAGTCTTTATTTCAAGCTTACAGCTGGAGGATTTTCAACACATAATCTATATAAAGGGCAAGCAGTAGCTCAGGAGGTAGAGCGGGTTTTCTACAATCGGAAAGTTGTGGGTTTAATCCCGGCTCCTGACAGAGAATGATGCTGTCGTGTCGTTGGGCAAGACATTTAACCCACATTGCCTGCTGGTGGTGGTCAGAGGGACCGGTGGTGCCAGTGTTCGGCAGCCTCGCTCCCGTCAGTGCGCCCCAGGGCAGCTGTGGCTACGATGTAGCTCTTCATCACCAGCGTGTGAATGGTTGAATGACTGATAGTGTTGTGAAGCACCTTGGGGGGATTGTAGAATCCTAAGAAGGTGCTATACAAATACAGGTCATTTACCATTTACCCACGTGCGACCGTATCAGTGCGACTACAAGTCGCTGTTCGTTTTTAAAAGCAAATGGACATATTTTGTCCATCCTGCAGTCTGCAGACGGTAACTAAAACACATCTGGGTTAATGGCTTAAAGGACAATGTGAAAAAAGATGCCTGATTCTAGTATTATGAGTTGTAGTGATGCAAGATGGCCACAAATAGCCGGAGAACTCCAGGTCCATAATGAGTGTGACCAAGTCCAGGGGTAGTGTTGTTGTAAGGACACGTCCTACCCGGTCCACGTAGGTCAGGTCCTTCCTCGACCGCTACGACCAGAAATGAGCAGCTGTGAATTTAGACGGTCAAGCCTTCAGATTTTATTCCCACCCTTACCTCAGCATATTGCCTGTCGCCTAGCAACCACGACACGCTGAACAGAAGCTACAGTTGTGGTCAGAAGTTTACATAGACTTGTAAAAAATATAATAGAATGGCTCTACTGAGTGTCCCGTTATTTCTAAAACTCTGATTTTTCTCTGATAGAGTGATTGGAACAGATACTTCTTTGTCACAAAAACATTCATGAAGTTTGGTTCTTTAATGTCTTTATTATGGGTTAACAGAGAAAAGTGATCACATTTGCTGGGTCACAAATATACATACAGCAGTGCTAATATTTGGTTACATGTCCCTTAGCCATTTTCACTTCTATTAGGCGCTTTTGGTAGCCATCCACAAGCTTCTGGTTGAATCTTTGACCACTCCTCTTGACAGAATTGGTGAAGTTCAGTTAAATTTGATGGCTTTCTGACATGGACTTGTTTCTTCAGCACTGTCCACATGTTTTCAATGGGGTTTAAGTCAGGACTTTGGGAAGGCCATTCTAAAACCCTTATTCTAGCCTGATTTAGCCATTCCTTTACCACTTTTGATGTGTGTTTGGGGTCATTGTCCTGTTGGAACACCCAACTGCGCCCAAGACCCAACCTTCGTACTGATGATTTTAGGTTATGTTGAAGAATGTGAAGGTAATCCTCCTTCTTCATTATCCCATTTACTCTCTGTAAAGCACCAGTTCCATTGGCAGCAAAACAGCCCCACAGCATAATATTCCCACCACCATGCTTGACTGTAGGCATGGTGTTCTTGGGGTTAAAGGCCTCACCTTTTCTCCTCCAAACATATTGCTGGGCATTGTGGCCAAAAAGCTCGATTTTCGTTTCGTCTGACCACAGAACTTTCCTCCAGAAGGTCTTATCTTTGTCCATGTGATCAGCAGCAAACTTCAGTCGAGCCTTAAGGTGCCGCTTTTGGAGCAAGGGCTTCCTTCTTGCACGGCAGCCTCTCAGTCCATGGAGATGCAAAACACGTTTGACTGTGGACAATGACACCTGTGTTCCAGCAGCTTCTAATTCTTGGCAGATCTGCTTTTTGGTGATTCTTGGTTCACTCTTTACCCTCCTGACCAATTTTCTCTCAGCAGCAGGTGATAGCTTGTGTTTTCTTCCTGATCTTGGCAGTGATGAAACAGTGCCATGCACCTTATACTTACAAACAATTGTTTGCACTGTTGCTCTTGGGACCTGCAGCTGCTTTGAAATGGCCCCAAGTGACTTTCCTGACTTGTTCAAGTCAATAATTCGCTTTTTCAGATCCATGCTGAGCTCCTTTGACTTTCCCATTGTAGCGTTTGTGGGCGTTTGTATCCAATGAGCCCTATTTACCTGGCCTAAGAGAAGTCACCAGCTGTAGTCACTCATAATCACTCACAAGAAGTTAAGAGGCCATGCTATGAAGCTCAGTTCACTGACACGTTTCTAAGTCACCAAAATTGCTAGTTCATGTTGCTGTATGTATATTTGTGACCCAGCAAATGTGATCACTTTTCTCTGTTAACCCATAATAAAGACATTAAAGAACCAAACTTCATGAATGTTTTTGTGACAAAGAAGTATCTGTTCCAATCACTCTATCAGAGAAAAATCAGAGTTTTAGAAATAACGGGACACTCAGTAGAGCCATTCTATTATATTTTTTACAAGTGTACGTAAACTTCTGACCACAACTGTAAAATCACACCTACCAGAAACACATGAAGAAATATGGTGTCAAGCTCTTTTATGAGGATTCTTCTAAAACTTTTGACTTTTCAAATATTGAAACCAAAATGGTAAATGGCCATTTGTATGGCGCCTTCTTGGGGTTCCAACCTACCCCCCCCCCCCCCCCCCCCCCAAGGCGCTTCACAACACAATCAGTTATTCTCGCATCCACACACATTCACACTCTGATGGTGATGAGCTACATCGTAGCCACAGCTGCGCTGGGGTGCACTGACAGGTTCACAAGAAGAAAGCACAACAAATATAATTTTTTTACCACATGTTAACATCTAAAACTGTAATCCAGGGTCCTTCGCCATTATTGCAAAAACAAAAATCTCCCAGTTGGCCCAAAATGAACCCTGGGATAGCTTTTGCCTATGAGGGCACACTGGACTCAAGATTCAGGGAATGTGAGGAGACATTTGTGAAGCCTTCAAACTCGGATGGACTTGTTCCTTCAACGTGACATAACCCAATTTAAAATGCGTACTCGGAGGGATGAAGGCCCTGGATTGGGACACGCCCAATGAGACAAATATGGCTTCCAGATGTAGAGGATCAGATTTACACGAAGAAGAACCTGGAGCTAAATTCTGATTGCAGAAGCAGCTTTTTGGTGCCAAAACAGAAAATCTTCAGTTATTAAATGTTTGGAAGACGATAAGGAGCAGCGGCTTTCACTCAGAATAGTTTCTGGTTGGTTTGTATGAAACTCATTTTAACTGATAATTCCAAATCTAGTTTTTGTCTAACACGACGCCGCGTGTTTTACTCTGGTGGTATCTGGACTTTCAGTTTTTGTGGATTTCATTGCTGGGAAAAAGTTTCACAAACAATCAGGATAAAGGACAAAGTTCCCATCAGATTTAGGCGTGGATAACAAACCAGATACTTGTCTAGCTGGTGTGATAACCACACACGCCACAAGCTCCATAATTATAGCATTACATTACCAAAAGCTGCTTTTTGTGTTAAGCTTATGAGAAAGCAGAGCTCAGCCACCAACCAGCAGAAAAGGCTCATTCATCTGGTTTTAACCGTATTATTTAGTCCGAAGTAAGGAAAATGTTTCATTCTGTAGCTTATTTCCATTTAAAGTTGTTTACGGTGAATTGCATTACCTCTCCATGGCTTTTGCAGTATAAGGCAAGTGCATTTCAATGCTGTGCTCATCTTCATCTGTCTGCACACTCATCCTCTCAAACAACCCAGTCTTCCAGAGGTCAGCGTAAACTGCAAGAGAGAGGTTTTACCTTTAATGTATGCATGTCGTCGGTGCGTTCGATTGGCTAAATGACTTTTGCAGCTGCATGTTCTTTCCAGATTCAGAATCTCAATGAGAGCTGAGTAAAATGCTTTAATGCAGTGATTTAGAATGAGTGAGAAGATGTGTACAGTTGCAGTTAGACGGTTAAAATGCACTTTAAATTACAACTAGGCTATTCCATCAATGCATTCACACACACGTCTGAGACACGAATAAGAGTAAATATAAGAGAATAACAGTGAGTACCCTTCTGGTCAATTCTCAGGTCATAGAGCGGTGTTCTATAGATGTCTGCAGGTGACAGGGCACAGCGGGAGAGGGGCACGTGATGTGAAGGTCCCAGAATGAACACCCTACGACTGATCGGAAGCAAAACTTTATCTCACTCACAGGAAAACATTCATCACCAGCACAACCTTCTGTTAGCCAAAAAACATCGGTTTTATTGCTGTTGCAAGATAAGAATTAAGATAAATGATGGCATTTTCACATGAGGCCCGGCCCGGTCCGGTCTTGGTTGGGTCAGCCCATTCCTGCACAGCCAGGTTTTGTTCTGTTCACACAGCCTTCTCAGGAACGTGGATGTCTGTGAGCATGTGGGCGGGGCAAAAGGTGCATTACCAAGTCTGTGGTGTCCTCTTTAAGTTAGTAAACCAAAGCATCCTCTGTCATAAAGCACACTGCTTCCTACTGTCTCACTGAGCAGTGATCATGGACCGTGCATGCAGGAAGTCACGGCTGGTTGAATCTAACCAGCAGTCAGAGGCTCCCCCTATTGGGCAGACATGAACTTCAGCCGGCCAATCCCAGTACACCCGGCTGCAGCACGCAGAAAGGGGCGGCGTCGGGCCAGTTGTCAGACCCGTACCATATTTGGAAAATGCAACACTTACGTTCCGGAACTGAAGTGGGCAGTGTCGGGTCGGCTGTCAGACCAGAACTACGGCTGTTACTAGTTTACGATTGTTAATACTCTGTTCTATGTTCAAATGAAGCAAGATTTGCTACATGGCAAAACCTGAATTTATATCCCAACATGAAAAGGTAGGTTCCTGTCAGTGAATCTCTGCCCGTGGCCGCTCTGATCACAGTTTTGTATTTCTATGGTAGTCCAGTGGCACCGAAATCTGCCTTTGTTTCGTTTCGCCCTCTGCTGACGTTGGCTCGACTCTAGGTGGTGTCGGCAGTCATTTATTTATATTCTAGGTTTTTTTTTAAATATTTTCTGCGAAACATTTTATGTCTCTAAAGATCTTTGAATGTAGTCGTTTCCAAGCAGCATTTTAGTTGATCCTCTGCTCACACACGGACTCACACTGGCTAAATAAACAAAGAAAGTAAAGAACAAACAGATTAGTCCTTATAATTTAAACAGTTTACCAATAAAGGGTTTAAAACAGAATACCAGCAAGTGTTGCTAAAAAAGAAAACAATAAAGACCCGGAGGCAAACCTGCACAAAACTCCACTCCGGTCTGACACTAACGACTGCACTGCTGAATCTGATGCAACTAACATGGTGCCCAGCACACACACCTCTTGCCATCACGGGTGTCTCTGTGGATGGGATTTATGGTTTTTACGGTGGCGTTCCAGTAGAATTTATTCCAGAAGTAATCTGTCAGAATATCCAGGTCTCAGAACCGAGACCAGACTAGCTTCAGGGGGAGACTTGGTAGTGGGCTACTTTCTCCCATTTACAGGAAAAATCTTTACATCGACCTCATTTCAGTGGAGACAGGAAAATGCATGAATGCAGCCAGAACAGGGTTTGTCATATCTTATGATGATATGGAACCTTCACAAAAACTGTTCAGTCAACCTCTCAACTCCGTCCTCCTCCATCTTGCGTTTTAGGTGATATTTGCTACAGCACCCCCTTCAGTTCCGGAATGCATTTGCGTGATTTCCAAATATGGTATGAGTCTGACAACTGGCTCGACACTGCCCCTTTCTGCGTGCTGCAGCCAGGTCCTTCTCGGCCAGTCAGTCCGTACCGAGTGTGTTGGGTCAGCTCAGCTTCAAGTTGGCTGCCGGGAAGCAGGTTTAAAAGAAGAAGAAAAAAGGTCGGCTGAGCACAGAAAATGCACAGATTATAGAGATGTAAACACAATTACCCTACCAGGGCTGGGCCATGCTGACCCAAATGTGAAAAGTGCAACATTTTAGCTGAACGACTTACGTAACAGTGGGATCAACCTGCTTGTAGGCATGTGCTGCACAAGCACCACAGTAGGTATACCCGGCATGGCTGTAAGCAAAGACATAAAGAAAACATCATTACAGGCCCTTCAGGTACTTTTTAAATAGATAGTCTTTATGTTGTTACGGTGCTATGATGGCTCTGGCAGGTCTGATCGAGGACTGTGCTTGAGACAGCCATCCCTCTAGTTGTGCATTCAGCTGGGATCCTGCAAAAGTCAAAAAACAAATTCATATCAGTTGAATAAATCTTTAAACAGCGCCATTGCTTTTTTACTGCAACATAAACACGATTACATTAGAACCAGATGTTCATGGTTCTGGCATAAACACACACACTGATGGTGATGAGCTACATTGTAGCTACAGCTGCCCTGGGGCACACTGGCAGTAAAGAGGCTGCCACACATTTGGCACCACTGGTATGTCTGACCACAACCAGCAGGCAAGGAGGGTGAAGCATCTTGCCCCAGAATATAACAGCCTGCACGGATAAAGCCTGGGTCAAACCGGTAACCCTCCAATCATAGAGGGAACTCCCAGTCCCAGAGTCCCTGTCGCACCCTAATGACATCAATGAGCTGGTGTACGGATCATGTTCAGATATTTAAATCCAGATAAGTGTACGATTTGATTTTCTAAGCATTCTGCAGCACATATTTCATCACTGTAACATAAACAATCCATATATGAGCCATACAATCTATTACTGTTAATCAGCAGAAGATGTGTTCTGATCCAAACCAGAGAACAGCATAAAGAGGTTCTGACCTGAATGAAAAAAAGAGATCTAGAACAGCCTAAACTCAACAAATAAATGTACAGGCAGTGTTTAACTACTACGATCATATCTATGCATGTTTTTATTTAGGTTAGCTGAAAGTATATATGAGGAAGGTTTCGCTGGATTACAAATGGAATAACTAAATGTTTGGTGGGTTCAAAAATAGAAAAGGCTTCCTGTTTATGAACTGGGGGAAGGGGTACAACATGAAACTCCAGTTTTCTGCCCAGCCCAACCCAGTCCTTTGTTTCATGGCTGAGAACATTTCACAGTTAAGGAAGTCGCAGTGAGAAACCAAAACGATCACAACAATTAAAACAGCTTAAGCTGGTTTAGCTTTGGTTGTTTTCTGGAGTTGTCGAGTTAGCGTGTAGGCCAGGGAGGTCTAATATTAGCCAAGTTAGCTCTGAATAGCTATAGCCTGTAACAAATTTGTCCAACAAAATCCCGCTTTATTTTATTCTTTTGCGGCATGATCAACAATAAATGACCACAAAACACACATGTTCCTCGTGGGATGACACAGAACAGGCTGTCAGAAGCTGGTAAATGTTAGCTAACCGGCTTTTATTTGAATCATCTAGATTAGCATGACATCGTCGGCTTTAACAGCCTCCTCGGGCAATATACGAAGAGAAACGTTATAAACCCAACGATGTTTAAAGTTTTACTAAATAAAGCGACAGACAAAACCAACGAGGCATGCTGACATACAAAGGAAAATAAAAAACAACAACAGCTAGCGCTCGGTGTGCTAACGCAAAGTGCCGACAGTTACCCGAAGCGGAGTACCAGCTCCCGGCGTGACTTGCTTCTCTGCACACCACTCGATTTGACATCTTGGTTCCCAAGCCGCCTATCTTGATTTCCTTAACTTCTTTATAGCAAAATAAAAATAAAACAGAACTGCAAAAACCCTGCGTTAGCTAGCTGACAGATGAAATAACGCCTGCTAGCTACCTTGCTCGAATAGACAAAGGGCAGTCCGGCTGTCGAGACAGCTGGGATAGCAAGCTCACTGTACTGGCCCCTGTGTTGTTATATTAATGTCGATGGTTGTTACCGGTTAATAAGTGAAGTTAGTTTGTTCGGCAATCTGGCGATATAACTCCTTATAGGCACAAATAAAACAGTATTGCGCCGACAACAAACACTAGCTAGCCCAATATAAAACCTTTAAACTGTCACAGTAGGTATTTGAGGATTACTGAGACTTCTTTTGCTAGCCAGGTAGAAGGGGCGCGGCTAAAACTGTTGTCGAAGTGATGTCACGTCTTATGATTGGTGAATTGATTTTGTAGGGAAACATCATTGGTGGGAATTGGAAAGGGGCGGAAACAAGTCCAGAATGGTTGTTTGGTTACAAAACGTTGGGCCGTCAAGTGAGCTGTGGTGAGCACACATGGCAGAAAATGAATCATACAAGCTTAACGTTATGGTTGAAACCAAAACAATTAAGAATCTAGATGCTATCAATAACAGCTGTCGACACGTTTGTAATGCATCATTATAATGTCTAAAGGTTTTTCTCAAATTTCTTTCATGAATTGTCATTTGAGTTCAAAATCTTTTCTGATTTCTTCTGAGTTGAAAATAGCAGTCATTGTTTTGAATGACATGTGAATTCGTGAAAATTAAAAAGAACATTATGTACAAGTCAAGGAAAAATAACGATATATAACGATATATATAGTGAATATATATAGTGAAACTATTATTATTATTATAAATATGGTTAAATGTTTCTAGTAATTACTTTACAAATTGGTGTTCTATAATCACACAAAAATGGGTAAAATGGTAACGAAATCGGTGGAAAAGCAGGCGGAAACCTGTTTTTTGCAACAAATATTATTTATTATATTTTTATTTTAAAATTTGGTTAGAAAATTTGACTGTAAAAATGGAAAACGACACAAGACAATGTTTCTCCACTACGGCAGGGGGCGCTAGGAGTTTACACCAAAGAGAAGATGCGGAAGCGGGCGGAGTCTGTTGTTTGTGTACAAGGGAAAGCGGAAGTTAGCGGTAGCTGCTTGCATGGACTCTAAAAACAAAAGAATATCACAGTGAAGGGTTAGTTTACTAAACATATACCGATGTTTCGCCACCTTCGCATGTTTTTTAAATGCTAAATGTATATTTCCCTTCTTAGAGAATTTGTAACAACCGCGATTAGGGAGGAAGTAACGCATCAGTAATGTCGGCTAAAATAAACGCAACTAATAGCAGCGGAGAACTTATTAAAAACTATCATAAACAGGCGTTTGAGTATATTTCGAAGGCACTGAGGATCGACGAGGATGATTCAGGTTGGTTTATTTGTTTGAGTATCGATCAGCGGATGTTTTGTGTGACAGTTTGTTATAAACGCCATCATGTGATAATAGTGGCTAAGGGAGAAGCTGTGCAGTGGTACAAGAAAGGAATCGCTGAGCTTGAAAAGGGTATCGCCATAGAGATTACTGGAACAGGTAGAAACGTTAACACTCCTCTGTTCCGTGATGTTTTGTGTTAGGAACATTTAGCCATGAATTCTGTGTTGTTTTGTCAGATGATCGATCAAAGAGGCTGCAAGATAAAATGGTTACCAATCTCACCATGGCGAAAGACAGGCTTGCTTTGTTAGGTAGGTGTCATTTGAGCTGACTAACACCCTGCTGGCATCAAAGCTAAATAACCTATTTTCCTGTTCTTTCCTCACAGAGGCCACATTGGCATCTAAAAGCAAAAACAATCCTCTGTCTGGCTCAAGCCTCCCTAAGCCTAAAAGCCAGCCTTCAGCTTCAGGGTTGTCCACTAACTTTAGGCCCTCCACTGCTGCCAGACCATCACCAAGACCTGCTGATGCAAAGGTGTTTTGATTCTTCACCATGTAAAGTGTAATCACGTGATACTGAAGGGTTCACGTTGTGTAATGATTTCTGCTTAAATCAATTCAGGTGAACCCCAGGATGGGAAAAGTCCCAAATGGAAGACCTGTGAAGCAACCCCCAAAGAGGGACATGAAACACTTCAAAAATGTGGACAGCAAGCTGGCCAGCTTGATTCTTAATGAAATAGTTGACAGGTATTCATAACAAGATAATAATGCTTTTGCAATCTGCAAAATACAGAATTAAATAAAGATGCTACATTTAAAATGTGCTCGGCAGGGGAGCGTCTGTATCTTTTGAAGACATTGCTGGACAAGATCTAGCTAAACAAGCACTCCAAGAAATTGTGATCCTTCCTTCCTTAAGACCGGAGGTTACGAGCTTTACTATATTTCTGTCTTCATAAAGCATCTGTGCTTTAAGTGTTTAACCTGACACCATCTCCTATGGTCTGTTTAGCTGTTTACAGGTCTGAGAGCACCTGCACGTGGTTTGCTTTTATTTGGCCCACCTGGAAATGGAAAAACCATGCTGGTATGTAGCGCATCCATTTTAACACAACAACCTTGATTGCTTGTATGCATGTATCACCATCCTGCTGTTATTAGCTGAATTACAGATGCTATTCCTCCTTTCCAGGCCAAAGCAGTCGCTGCAGAGTCTAATGCTACTTTTTTCAACATTAGTGCAGCTAGTTTGACATCTAAATATGTGAGTAGATTTATAAATTGCTTACTTTTCTGCAGCCACACTGTAATCTGTGGTGTTTTCAAATGTTTCTTATCACTGTCACAGGTAGGAGAGGGCGAGAAGCTTGTACGAGCTCTCTTTGCAGTTGCAAGAGAACTGCAGCCTTCAGTCATCTTTATTGGTCCGTAGTACTGTCTTCCACAGTTTAACTTTGACATCTTGGTTCATAAATTAACCTTTTAATATCACTTTTAATTCTTAGACGAAGTGGACAGCTTACTCTGTGAGAGGAGGGAGGGGGAACACGATGCCTCTCGTCGCTTAAAGACAGAGTTCCTCATCGAATTTGATGGGGTAAGAGTGTCAGGAATTTATTCTTGAACACCTGAGAACACACCGGTGTCATTTTCACATCTGCCTTTCTGGATTTCAGGTGCAGTCAGGAGGGGATGACAGGGTTCTGGTCATGGGAGCAACTAACAGGCCTCAGGAGCTTGATGAAGCAGTCCTAAGGTAAGCAGTGCAGCCATACGTGATTGTTTTATGTTTGATTTAAAAATATGTCACTGCTACTGATAAATGTTTATCTGACAGGCGCTTTGCAAAAAGGGTGTATGTCGCTCTGCCAGATGAGAAGGTAATTATCACCCATGCATGTTTTTTTTTTAGTTTTGTTGCAAGATGCTTTTTGTTTCCTTTTTAAAAGAAGTTTTCTAACTCTTTAGACGAGACTCACTCTGATGACAAACCTTTTGGGCAAACACGGGAATCCACTGAGCTCGAGCGAGCTGTCTTGCCTCGCAAAGTGAGTGTCCTGCTGCTGTTACAATGCTTCATGTGTTCGTAGAGGCAGTAGAAACCCACATGGCAGCATAAAAATATGCTAAAAGTTAGATTTGTATGTATGTCCCCTTTAAGCTGATATAAATAAAATGTTGTTAACTGACAGAGCGACTGCAGGATATTCAGGAAGCGACCTGACGTCATTGGCCAAAGATGCAGCTCTTGGTCCTATTAGAGGTAGGACTGATTAATCAATTAATTTCTGGCAACATTTTTACATTTTTAATGGGAAAACCAATGAATTTTATGTGAACTTGATCTCTTTCAGAGCTGGGACCAAACCAAGTCCGCAACATGTCAGCTAGTGAGGTGAGAAGAAGGAAAACCATCAGATTGGCTTTTGTAATTACACAGTATTAAATATGTGTAATTACACAGTATTAAATATGTGTAATTACACAGTATTAAATATGTGTAATTACACAGTATTAAATATGTATTCATTCACTTTTGTTTTCTATGTTCTCAGATGCGTAACATCAAGATGAAAGACTTTGAGGATTCCCTGAAGCGCATTAAGCCCACCGTTAGTCCCTCTACTCTAAATATGTATAGCAAATGGAACAAAGATTTCGGCGATACGACAGCTTTTTGAACTTTGCTTTTTACTTGAAAAATAAAATAAAATAAACGTTTCTTTAGTTAAACTGAGTGAAACTATCAAAGCACTTCTCTTTTTGTTGGGTGTGGCTATATTATATGAAAAAAATGTGACATTTGGGATTATTATAGGAAAATTTCCTGTTTTATGGAAAGGTTTTCCTTTGTCAGTTCTTACAAACAAATGTAATCGCACTCCTTATTCGTCTTCTTGCTCTGTAAAAATCTGTTATTTATTCTTTAAAAAATGCAAGTTCTGCAAATTTGAATGAATTTCCATTATTTCTCTAAATGGAGAATAAAAGTACATTTATACACAACACTGCTCATTTTTACATGAATCCCAGTATTCCTCACATACAGTAAGTTGACATGTTGATGGTACGGATCACCAAGTGGATTTGAGTTCATATACAAGAGTTGTCATTCCTGGGGGAAAAAATGGCAAAGTACTTCTTTTTGTTGGTGTGTGTGAGGATTTTGTTCCTCTGAAACTTGTACTTAATTTTTATTTTCAGGGAGGATGTATAATTAGCTGACGAGTGACTCACTTTCCTTCATCCTCAGTAAATTCTTCTAATAAAGGTTTCCTCAAGTTTCTTTTTCCTCTAAACGGTTTTATTTTCTAGTAAAATAAAGTCTTAGTTGCACCCATTACTCCTCTGCTGCAGTGTCACTTATCTGTGGAGTCCCCCAAGGATCCATTCTGGGCCCGGTCTCATACATGCTGCCTTTGGGGTCCATTCTCAGAAAATACAAAACTCAGTTCTACACCTTTGCAGATAATATTCAGCTATATTTATGCTTTTCGCAGACGGTTTTATCCGGAGGGAATAACAGATTCACCCGTGTTTTGGGTTTGTGAGGAAACTGGTGAAAAATATGAATGCGTGGAGAAAACATGCAAACTCCAGGCAGAAAGGTTGCAGCTGGGATTTGAACCTGTGATCTTACCAAGCCAACTATTTACACAAATAAAACCAGAAACCATTTTAAACCAGGGTTGTGCTCTTGTTAGCACTTTTGCACCATCATGCAAAGGTTGGAGCTGGAGGCAGCTGCAGCCTTCACAAGTTGGCATGGTGTGGTTTCTCCTGGAGACAAAAACATGCAAGTAGGTTTAAGTGACAACTGCTAAAGGTTGGTGTGAGTGAATGTAAGTGGTTGTCTCTGTGTGTCCTTGTGATGGACTGGAGACCTGCCCAGGCTGTCCCCCACCTCTTGCCCAATGACTGCTGGAGATAGACACCATTTGCCCGCAAGCCCAGAAAGGATAAGGCGGTCAAAGATAAATGAACTGGTTGAAACTTCTACTGGACTCCTCACAGGACATCAAGACCTGTTAAAAACTTTGGTGTAACTTTGACAGATAAGTCATCCAAGCCTTTTCCGTCAATGACTCTGCAACAGAAAGGTCCTATTTCTTCTGAAAAAAAATGTTCATGCTTTCATCAAAATATGCCTGGATTACTGCAACTGTTTTGTGTAAAGCTCCTATTGGTCGCGGAGTAGAGCCTGAAAATGTGAACATTAATATAATGAATGCTTTTTCTAAAATCAGCACCCAAAAATAAGAAATGGGGTTTCAATGCAGAAATGACCAAAGTTATTAATTCTGAGGTTCAGTGACGTGGAACAATCGGTTTTCAAAGTAACTATAGTTGGAAGAGTTGGAGTCCAACATTAGATCCACGGTGAACTGAGTGATGCCTCTCTGGTAGGCAGGTGGAGCTACAGGCCTGGTTTTGCTCACTGCATCTTTTAAAACCTGGGGATTCTTCCCCATCCGTCACAGATGACAGCTACCTTTGGTGCCTTCATGTACATGCATGCACCACCACGACATTTGCAAAACACGCCCAACTACACGGTTTAATACGGCTTTTAGCAGGAGTTCCAACATGCTGGGGCGTTGCTGATTCATGCCAAGGAAGTGCTTGTGTTTGGTTGTAGATCTTCAGTCTCATCTAAGCTTAGCTTTGATTTATAAGTCCTAAAAGTTGTTTCATTCTGTTAACAAACTGCAAATGGAAGCATTTTTTTCCTTTTGATTCACGAGGATTTTTAAAGCTGTTTCACTTCCACTCAAAGAACATGAATGTGCAAAACACTCAGAGCTGTAACCACACCTCCTCTTTTTTTCTCCCCCCAGGGGAGAAAGGTTGGATGGAGCGTATTTTTTTAAACATGTCACGACTGAAGAGCTTCTTTCATGACGCCAGACTGGAATGAAGACTGTTAGAGGTTAGGGTTTTAAGTCATCACCTTTGTTTCTTGATGACTTGACCCTAAGAGCGTCCTACATAGTATACGTAACTTTTATTGTTGTGATGCAGATTTCAGAACTCTCAGTCCTGCTATGTTGCAGCTTTACAGTAAAATAACTCAAAAGTTGTAAAAAGAAAAACAATGATCAAATCCTCACTTGGAGCCTGATTGAGGTCTAAACCTTGTGAATGACTGACAGCTTCTTCTTTTAGGTAGCGTGCCAGGGTCCCGCACCTCCACAGTGGTTCTTTGCTGCTCTGACCACGACATCCACTCAAACAGAAAAGGTGATCATCTGATACCTCCAGCGAGACAACCCACCCTGTAGAGTGCAGAATAATAGTCAACACAGTGAGGACCTCTCAGTGACTGAGCAAACACATAACATAGCAGCATGTGGATCAGGGCCTTAAAGTAAAAGCACGTGTGTCTCATTTCAGGCCAAGCAAAACTTCAGTGATTCTTTGAATTTCTGGGTGTCTTTGACCCATTTGGTAATCGTCTACTTGTGTTTGAGGCCAAAATAAACCAATTCAAGGTGTGCAGCATTTAGTCGCTGTTGTTTCAAGTATTTTTTGTGCTGGTGAGGGACGAATTTCCATCCCGATTTCACCTTTTTATCACCTGGAGTACAAGGATGTGGTTCTGAGTTTACAGTGGAAAGACTCAGAGAGCCGAGAAGCTTTCAGCACCGGCTGCTGCTTTTCACCAGCAACACGCCCGGAGCATGGCTTCATTTACTGGAGAGTGTTATCCTTCTCCCTCAAGGGAGGCTGGAGCTGTGACTAATCTCCTGTCCAATCAGAACACCCGTCTTTTATGGGCAGAGTCATTTTTCTTTTTCGCAGGTTATTTCATGGTATGTGTCGCAGTGGGGGTTTGTGCTTATAAGAAATATGTGATGGTGTGAACACAGGTCTGTTTGTGTCAGCTTTGACCAAAGACTCTATATAAAGATGGCCGACTGGACTCCGTCCACCTTTGCTGTACAAAAGTGAAGCATTTCAATGAGTCAAAATAAGCTCTGATAACCATTCTCTGGATAGAGTCGCTAAGACGCAGAGTTACAGCCAACAGCAGATGTTCCTGTTAAAAACTAAAGGGGTCATCTGGGGGTCCAGTGCTACCCTGACAGCAAGCTTGCCCCCCGTGGTCACCCCACCAGGGACGCAGCCTGAGTCCTGATCTTTTTGTGATAATTTACCTTAATGCAAGATGTGGATCCAAAGCACATTAATGAATTTATTATGCATTCTCTGAAGATTTTAGAGATGCTGGGACAAAAATGTTAATGTTGTCATTTTTTTGCAAAGTAGTATTATACTGAAACATATAGTAAAGCTACTGAATCTAAATCAGCTGTAACTGGACTTCTAGAATAGCTAGATTTTGAAATGGTTTGGAGCAAAAATCCACTTTTTTTCTCAGAGGGCACCATCTAGGGGCAGAAAAATGTGTTGCACCTTTTAGCCGCTCTACCTTCTTCAGTGATTTACAGCTGGATGCAGCTACTCTTGTTTGTGAATGCACACTTGTAGCTGGCCAGCAGAGCTAAAACACATGTTTTAAGTCTCATTTTATGTTGTTTATGTAAAAAAAAAATTCTCATCTCTCCCTCCGCGGGTGGTCTCATCCTTCCAAGTTCGGGTCCTCCACCAGAGGCCTGGGAGCTTGAGGGTTCTGCCCAGTAGTAAAACAAACGAATTAACAATCCTGCTGCACAATATAACGACGTAGAGCAGGGGTGATCAGTTCTGGGCCCGGAGGGCCAGTATCCAGCATGCTTTAGTGGTTTCTCAGCTCCAACACACTTGATTCAGTGGTTGAATCACCTGTGCAGCAGCTGCTGATTGGATTCAGGTGTAGGTCAAAACTGAAAAGTGCTGGAAACCGGTCCTCCAGGGCTGAACCTGAATTCCTCTGACTTAGAGGATGCAACATAATGCTAACATGAATCATAAACTTGCTCTTTAGGGTCTAAGCATACAAAAAAAGGTTGTGATAAACATTCACTTTTCTTTTGCTGTGTGTTAGATGAGAAGTGTAAACATTTTGAAAAAAAATATGTGAAAGATATTCCCCTTGGCTTCTGTAACAATTATTGTTTACTAATTATTAAATTAACAAAAAACAGAGGGAGTATCAGAAACATGCTTTTGGTTTATTGAGTTTTTTTTTTTTTTTTTTTTTTTTTTGCTGCCTGATATGTAATAACAGATGTTGCCTTCATTGCCTTTTTGTTTGCCGTCAGAGCTGCAGGTGGTTGTGGCCAATCCCAGCCAACCCCTGAGCCTGCAGCAGTCACCTCACCATCAGCGGGCTGAGTCATACACGCAGAAAGGTTCAGCAGTTTGCTTTTCTGAAACAGGAAGCAGCCAGAAGCAGGCTTGCAGACACAGCACATTTGTACTCTTTTATCATGGAGGTCAAAGTTCAAAGTTCAAGTTTGTGAGGCTGAAGAACTGCACATCAAACCAGGTGATCAGTAACATTGGAGCACCACAGGGGACTGTACTCTCACCATTCCTTTTCACCCTGTACACCTCAGACTTCCAGTACAAATCAGAGACCTGTCATCTACAGAAATACTCAGATGACTCTGCAGTTGTCGGGTGTATCAGAGATGGACAGGAAGCTGAGTACAGAGAGCTGGTGGAGCGCTTTGTGGCATGGTGTGGAAACAATCATCTGACCTTGAACGTGAACAAAACAAAGGAGATGATTTTAGACTTCAGAAGAAACAGGGTGGAGTCAAACACTGTTTCCATCATGGGAGAAGAAGTGGAGGTGGTTGAGGAATACAAATACCTTGGAGTTCACCTGGACAACAGACTGGACTGGAGAAAGAACAGCGAAGCCGTTTACAAGAAGGGACACAGCAGACTGCACTTCTTGAGGACGCTTAGGTCCTTCAGTGTCTGTAGCAAGATGCTGCAGATCTTCTACAAGTCTGCTGTTGAGAGTGTGATCTCTTCAGCCATCGTCTGTTGGGGTAGCAGCATCAGAAGCAGGGACCTGAAAAGGCTCAACAGCCTAATAACAAAGGCTGGTT